GAATCAACAGTTGTAATTATCCAACTGAACAACCTACCAAGAGATATAACTTGTATTCAATTTTTTCTGATAAGATCAATCTTGAAATTCATATTTGATAAAAAGAAAAATATATTTCTATTAAATGATACATATGATAATATTCAAGCACTTATTGAACATAATTTAATTCAAGAAGAAATTTTAACAACAACTAATTTTCTTACTTTACCATAAACAGTACATTAATATCAAAAACTGCTTTATCAGTTAATAATACATATGCTTTTTTTTGTGCTTTTGCATGCATAAATAATTAGTTTAGCTAAATGAAAATTTTCATCTTGTGCTTTTTTTTATTTTGCTTTTTAATTGTTCGGTGAATTTAAACATTCAAATAATCCATGTGCTAAAAATTTTTTCGTTTTTTGTTTTTTTAATATTTTATACTTCATTTGTAAGCTCGTTTTCAAAAAATAAATTCTTTAATTTTTGCAATATTATTCTATTGCATATGAATAAATTACTTTTTGATGAATAAGCAAAAATTGAGAGTAGCAAATTTTTGTTTTTTGTTTTTTTGAATTTTGATAAATAAAAAAAAGCTATTCAACTGATAAACATATATATAAATTATTATTTTATATTTATTTTTTTAATTCTAATTGTAGATACACACACATATATACATAAAACAATGTACTACTCAAATATTATATCAAGTGTTCAATCGATTGTCAATATGAATATTAATTCATTGATATTTTGTTTAATATCCATTTGTTTATTTTTTTTCTTGTTAAATTTGTATCTGGAAAAGAAAATAAATATAACAATTGAAAAATTAAATGCTAAATTAATTAAAACAGGTGAAACAAAGAAGAAGAAAATATTGGAAAATTTAACTGATTTCGTACCATTACAAAATTATAAATTTTATTGTATTGATGAAACACCAAGTGCAGCTAAAATTCAAGAATTAATAAATGAAGCTGAAACAACTTATAAATTTACAGTATTTCAATTTGATGATATTGCATTTAATATGCATTATATACAAATAGAATTAATTCAACAATCAATATCAATAATAATCAATGTAGAATTATTTGAAAATTGGCAAGTCCACTCGCCATTAATTCATGAATTATTTGTTGTCGTGTTTCACCGATCAAAAACAATACAACTTTGGGGTAAACCGAATCAATATGAATATAATTATGAAATCTATGAACTATATAATACAAATGGAATATTAAATTGTCATATCGTTTATATACAAGATTCATTTAAAATATGGTACAATAAAACATTTAATCATAATGAAAATTGTGGACAGATACTTGATTTTGAAGATATTGATGGTCCATTATGTACTTGTTCATATAGACCATTGAAAAATTTAAATGATACATGGGATTTAAAACAAGCAATTGCATATACATTTGAAGAACGTCTTGATCCTGAAAATTTTCATTTATATAAATGTTTAGCAATAATAAAACTTGCAACTGTTCTTAATGAAAAATGCAGCTATGAAAAAATTCAAGATTACATCAAAATAAATCATTTAAAACAAAAAGTAATGTTTAATTTTATTTGAATAATTCTAACATTGAATTTATGATTACCTTTAGAATGAATAAATAACAATAGTTTGCTGGTGGTCAATAAAAAAAAATGAACTAATAGATTTAGTTTGCTTCTTAATAAAAATTCATTCGAATACTTCTTATTATCTTTTTGCTTTAAAAATAAATTTTTTAACTCTATCATTTCTTTTCTATTTGTTTTAGATATAAATATAATAAAAAGTCCTGAAGAGTATTATCTTATTAAAGATACGAAACGCGTAGGCGTCAATTAAATCTGCATTAATTTTTTATTCAATTAAATTTTATTCAAGCATAATATTGAATATAAATTTTTAAATTGACTTAATCGGTTGCTGAAAAAGCAAAAATTGAGAGTAGCAGATAGATTTATATTAATTAAAAAAATATAGATTGATCTGTTTTTCAAATAAATTTACACCTTTTTTTTAAAAATATCAGGCATCAAATTCTTCAGAATTCTATCATTCAAATTTGATCCATTTATTTTTTTTTCTCTCAATTTATTTTAACGAGTCATGTCAACAATTACATATACAACAAATAATAATGAAATTGCTCAACAACAACTAAATGCACCACCTCAACAACAACAACAACAAAGATATGGACGAGGTGGTGTTTTAGTGGGCAATCAATTAAATTATCGAAGCAATCAATTTAATTATCGTTCCAATTATAGAGGGAACCAGTATACAAATCGAAGAAGAAGAAATACTAATTATTATGAAAATAGAAATTATGCATATGTTCCAAATTATAATCGTCGAAGAAATAATAATAATAATAATAATATATTTTATAATCAAAATAGATATATGAATAATAATGGGGGTGTTTTTGTACAACGTCAAAGACGATTCAATCGAAGTTGGTCAAGAAATCGATTATATCAACAAAGATCGAGAAGTCGATCAATAAGACAAGTACGACGTGGTCCACGGCAAATAAGATTAAATGATTTTATGCCAAAAAATCTACAAGGTGATTGTTCGCAAGATTCAAGAAATCTTCTAGATGATTTTAATTTAAATAATGCAATTACAACAGCACCACCTGATGCATTACCACAACGTACAATATTTACAAATAATACTAATAATACAACACAACCATTTATAGTTAATCAACCAAATAATAATCTAATTCAACAACGTACAAACACTTCATCATATCGTCGTCGACAACGTCGATATCGTCAACAACAATATCAACATCAAAATAATATTGATTATAATAATAGATTTGAAATATTAAATGACATAAATGATATTGATAATGAAAATGAATTTGATAATAATAATGATTTAGTTGAAATTGAAATAAATAATAATAAAAATAAAATTAAAAATAAAAATAGAAATAAAACTAAGAAAAAGATTCGAATATATCTTCAACCAAATAGAATATTGAAATGGTTTGAAGAAAGTTCAAAACAAAGTAAAAATGCTATAAGTGGTCGTGGTAATCAAGCATATACATTAGCGACTACTTCTATCTATGATGAATGGATAAGAAATAATTATGAACTACAAGTCTGGCAAGAATATTTTAAATTAGGTACTGAAAAAAAGTTTTGGGCAAAAGAAGTTATACAACGTACTAAAAAACGTGATAATTTAATAAATACAAGATTTTTTCAAAAGAAAATTAAAAGATTAACAGATGAAATAGCTGCATTAAGTGCCAATATTTCATATTTACAAATACAATTGTCAACATATTGGATGCATACGACATCCGAAGCAACAACACAAAAAATTGTTCATACAACAGCTGAATTAACAGCTAATCTAGTAACAACAACAAATGCTAATATCCCATCACTAGCTACAACAATGTCAACAATTAAAAATCAAACACGTGAACCAGTTGACCGTCTTGAAAAATATATATTAGAATATTTACATAAATGTACACAACATGTGAAAAAACTAGCTGAAAATCGTATACAATTAGCTAAAGCACAAATGGCTGAATATAAAGCTTTTGAAGATTTTCAACAAATAGCAACTCCAATTCATTGGAATTACAATTCAACTTTAAAATCTAAAATAAAATTATGGTCAACTAAATATAAAAATTATCGAACAATTACAGAACGTATTAAATTAGATTTACCACCAAAATTTATTTCAAAAGTTGATTTTAATTTTAAAATAGATGAATCAATAATTAGTCAAGAAGAAGCACAAGTTTTATATAATCGTATGCGAGAAATTACAAAAAATTATCGAATAGAAGCAATGACTTTATATGAACAAACAACTGCTCGAGAATATGAATTATTAACAAATGAAATGAAACAAATAATTGAAAATTTTCCAAAAATAACTAACGAAGATGAAGTTAGTTTTGCTTCTTTTAAACAATATCATGAATTACCAGAAAAACAATTAAATATTGAAATTAAAAAATCAATTTATTTTTTATTCGAACAGCGAGTCGAGGGCGAAATCGACAATTTATTATTACAAGAGGAAGAATTAATAATTGCCCCGACTCCAATACGTTCGCTGGGCGAGGATTTCTTGCTCCAGCCATAATTAATCAAGCAAATGTAAAATTAACTAAAGAAGAACATGATTTATTGACATTGGGTCCAAGATTTATATTTAATGATCCAAAAACAGCATCTCGAAGACGTACAACTGAATTGGCAACTCTAAAACGAAAAATTGCAGATCGATTTTTAGAAAAAGGCATTATACCTGGTCGTCCAATTGAACAATTTATTGATGAAGTAGATGTTCTTCTTCAAAATTTGCATGATACATTAGTTTCTAAACAAAATAAAAATAAAGATATTAGTTTAAGAAATAAAGATATTACCTTAATAAGAGAAAATCAATCAATTCAATCTGAAAACTACAATATTTCAATACTTCGAAAAAAGAAAAATTATGGTCGATTAATAAAAAGATTGAAACATAAATTTAGATTGACTAATATTGTACTGAGAAAATCAGATAAATCAAAAGTTTTTCATTTAGGTAAATTAGAACACTATCATAAAAAATCAGAAGAATATATGGATAAGACTCAAGCATACAAATGTCTTGAAAAAGAAAATCCATTACCTGATTTAATTCAAAGAACCAATAAATATTTATTAGATTTAAGATTAGCCAAATGGATAACACAGAAACAATATGAATTATTAAGTGTTAAACCAAATGAAGTAGAATTAGCACATTTATATTATTTACCAAAAGCTCATAAACCTGGTACTCCTTTACAACCAATAATCAGTGGTCTTAAACATCCTACAATTAAAATATCAAAATTTCTCGATGATTTATTAAGACCTTTATTCGATAAAATGGCTATTCAATCAACAGTCACTTCTGGTTTTGAATTATTGAAAAAATTAAAAGAATGGTCAGAATTAAATATAAATCAGGAAACATTATTTTGTACAATCGATGTAGTTGATTTATATACAATGATTCCACAAGTAGAAGGAGTATTATCATTGAAAAAGATGTTAGATTATTTAAATTTGAAACAAATTGGTGGTTTAAAAATTGAAACAATTATTAAGGTGTGGGTGTGGGTGTGGGTGTGGGTGTGGGTGTGGGTGTGGGTGT